AGAAGAGAGAGATCACGAATGAAAGATGATGTACAAACTATATATTACAGAAGAGTATGCCATACTACAGATCGCTCAAAGTAGAACCAGAACAATTTTCCTCATAAGAAGATCAATTTGTCTATCACAGCATATTGTTTGTTTTCACTTTTCCTTTTGAAAACTACTTTTCTTCATTGTGTGTTTTTGTGGGAAGGGGAAAAGGATGGGTGAAAATTAGTTTTGAAATACTAACTGATTAATCAGTCATGAGTCAGTCAGCCATGAAGAGACTTCATGAAACTCGAGTAATCCTTGATACTGAATATCACAACCAATTCAGTATGAGCAGTACCTTTGTGCACAGGCAACCATTTATCAAATCAATATGTTGTCACATTAAGAAATGTTTGTTCAAAACTCGGTTACTGGCATAAACAATACAAAGACAATCAATACTCCACCCATCAAGCATCCAATAACTGCGTCGCTGAATTCTCATTATCTTTCTCCGTGGGCATAGTAGCAATGAAGGACATCAACACTGCCAGCCTGTAAAAACAGATAGATTAGAAATCATATAATTGTAACTTGTACATACAAATTTATGCTAAATGATTAAAGGAACCTAAGGCAAACCCAAAAGTCCTCCCACGTCTGAAATTTACTTGATCATCTGGAATACTTAGCTGCATTGACTGATTGGACAGTTTAAATTGCTACAATGACACTCTGCAAATAACATGGCCTACTACTCTCAGCTCAATTCAATTTCGATCTACAAATCTCGCTAGAGCGTAGCAACTATCTCTATATCAGTAATCATGTACTAAATTAATCAACTATACAAGCTTGGTGCTGCGTGGAAGACAACTACAATACAATACACAATTTGACTACAATGTTCAGGGTTATACATAAAAAAGTGAACTTACAACCAATAGAATAGATAGCACACCTTCACTTTTCATGAGCTTCTTTCACAGTTTTCCCGTCTTTTTCTTCCTCCAACGATGACCATCTTTTCGAAAATATCGAAGTACTTTTCGATCAAACAAGAACAAAGAACCAGCTGAAAATTAAGAAGAAAAAAAAAAAAATCAAGTGCTGTTTCAAATATCATTAGACTGTCACTGCATCACTTCTTAGAAGGAAAAGTAAAAAATTACTGATATATATCAGAGATTAACAGTACAAAAAAGAAATTACCTTCCATAAAAAATTTGATTAGTAAATAAAACCAGTAGACCTCTGTACACAGGGAGAAAGCTGAAAACCAATATGCTATCAACAAAACTCAACTCCTCAAAAGCCCAAAATAAAAAGTACGCACTTCCATGATATGTTTGCATGTAAATAGTTAAAGCATGAAATACAACTTGATGCACACAAAAATAAATAACAACAACCAAAAATTAATAGATGCAGGATGTGTTCAAGAAATTGAAATAGAACCATAATGAAATTAACATCATTCTCCTGCATAGATAGCTGAAATAAAAGGGAAATGCACTCACGTTTAATAGGAAAGAATCAAGGTGTCAGAAATTACTCAAAAAAAATTATTTTTTTTATTTTTTTTAATGTAAGAGATTTAAAGGGCAAATTACATATACACCCCTCGAGGTTTGGCTAAATTACAGATACCCCCTGAGGTTTCAGAAATTACATCCCGCCCCCTGAGGTTTGATTTTTCATAACAATTTGCCCCTGAGGTTTATATTTCATAACAAATTACCCCCTAATTTCTTATGCAAATATAGCATTCAGGGGAATTCGTAATTTCTCAAACCTTTAGGGGGGCATCTGTAATTTAAGGCCAAACCTCGAGGGGTGTATATGTAATTTGCCCTAAGAAGAAGAATACTTCTATATCAGCTCAAAATGATAAAGTCTGAAAACACCATAAAAGCAACAAAAAAGCCAGCCTATCCAAGACTCTAATCAATAACCCTGGGCAGCCAGCATCAAGCCCCTGTACCTCCGTCTACTCCAACCCCATTTTGTACATCATAATTAATGGTGACTAAATTCTTTTTAACTCCCTTCCACATATAGCTTTGCTTCCCCCACTCCACGTTGCAACCAAAGTTGCAAACCATTCCTCATGATCTAGTTGATAGAAATAAAAAAAAAAATACTGTTACTTTTGCAGGTAGATTTTTAAAGTTGGTACCATGCATGATACTTTAGAGAAATGCAAAAACAAAGACCCCGTGTTCATCCAAAAATTATCATAAACTTACGCAAATTCAACCTAAAAACCAAAATAAATAAATATGATCAACAATTCAAGTACAGAAGAAAATTTGACAATGTAGATTGTAGAAAGACAACCAGTAAAATAACTACAATTGCAATTCCAAATATTAAACATCATACATTGTGCCTATATTAAACTGTTGAGTTGAAGCATGTAAGAATGTATTGGTGACAACCTGGTGGCCTAATAGGTTCTGGTGTCAAGTGAAACTTTTCGTGGTTCCGAAGAACTTCACAGATTTCAGCAGGAAGGACGGAGCCAGCGGTGTTGTGCTTCTTGCAGTATCTGCTCAAGGTCTACAAAAGTCCAAAATTTACATGTTAAAGATCTGAAATACAACAACAACAACAACAACAACAACAACAAAAAAAACAAAAAACTCAAAGCATTCACAAAATCAACAAAATTATAAATGACAGGAAGACCTATAATCAACAAACTCAGCACTGTATTTCAAAATCTTGGTCTTCATCCAAACTACAATTTGCAATCTAACGAGCATCAAACCAACCATGCCCAATTCATGCATGCCGACTGCTAACTAGTTTTGTACAACCATAGAGAGTTTAGCCGCTAATACGCAATCAAACTTAAGTTCAGAAGTTACAATGTGTTTGGATTGGGTGATTTGGGAAGAAAAGAAAAGAAATCTATTTCTTTTGGTTGGAGTGAAACGAAAAGAAATGCAAAGAAACTCATTTCTGTTCAACCCTCATATTAATCTCTCCAAAAGTGGATAGATTGGGAGAGAAAAGAAATCACCAACAAACCATGAATTTTTCATAACACCAAAACGAAACTGACCCTTTCGATGAAAAGGAAATAAAAATTGAAAATTGACACCTTTTAAGGTTATTTCAATCATATAACATGAGACAATTTCTTTTTCCCTTCCTTTCTCACGAAACTTGTATAATCATTTTTTTTTCTTCTCCTAAGTTTGAAATAGAGTTAAGGAGGCATGGCATGTAATGTAAAAAAGTTTGGCATCATTCCATCAATCCAATCATAGAAAAAAGGGGCATGTCCAACGAAATCAAACAATATATATAGAATTTCAAAAGCAACCATAAAGCCGTAGAAAAAATGAACAAGTATTACAATAGAAGTTAATCTATACACGCAGTCTAAACATATATATATATATATATATATATGCATGTATGCATATATATAATAAATTGAGGGAGGGAAGAGAAGAGGAAAAAAAAAAAAAACTTACTTAATGGTTGAATGGGGACATAACGTCTGGTCTCAGCCATCAACGAGCAATACTGTGAGGAATGAAGTAATTTTCATGAAATCGAAGCAGAGAGTGGAGTGATTAGAAATGGATAAAGAAGAGTCGAATCACACAGAGCCAGAAATGCAGAAGGGTATAGTATGTAATGGTGGGGAGACAAGAAGTAGGGGTTGAAGAGGTGAGATTTGATGTTGATGTCGTACAAATCGGAGATTGGAGATTGAGAAAACCCTAACAGCAATGACTGAAGCAAATCAAAAAGAGAGAGAAAATGGGGGGGGGGGCCTTGTTCGAAGAAGAAGAAGGAGAAGAAGAAGCGTAAAGTAGAGTCATTTGGGAAAGATAAAGTCAAGGTTTTGCGGTTGTGTCCACACTAGCACACAGACACAGACACAGACAGGCCTTCCTATGCATCCGACGTGGCAAATCTGCCGAAACTTAGCCTGGACAAGACTACTTTTTTTTTATTTTTTATTTTTTATTTTTTTATGTAACGCTAAAACAGTCAACAAAAAAATAAATAAACAAATCCGAGTCAGACCTCTATTTTAACTATTCTAAAAGCAGCTCTGAATAGGTGACACTCAACAAGGAAAAATGAAACACATTTGCATATATAGGCCTAGTTTGGGAAGATTAAATAAGTGTACTTTTTGACTTTTTATGAAATATGAATTGGGTTTAGGTTGAGTTTGAAGTGATGTGTTAGAGAGGTGATGTGACTTAAATAAGATGATGTGACTTAAATAGGATAGTGACTTTTTGACTTTTTATCTTTTTTGTCTCATGCCAAACTTGGCCATAGTGCGTGTATAAAAAAAAAAATTAGAAATTCCGCTCCAATGTAAAACAGAGGTATTTCAAGATCTATTCCAAATCTATCAGCTATAGATCTCTCCTCCACCGTTCCTCTCATGCACTGTCCAACGTCTTGTCCTCCTCCATCGTCTAGCGTTCGTTGTCTCCGTCTCCGTCTTCCCTCTCTCGCTCTGAAAGTTTTTGCAGATTTGTCCTCCATTGTCCCTCTCTTTCACCGCCCGATGTCTTCTCCCTCGTATCGTCCGGCTTCTTCTCCCTCTTCGATCTTCGCCTTTTTCTCGCTCTGAAATCATTTCCAAGTCAGTTTCACCTCTATTTTTTGTCCTTCTCTCTCTCTATACTTATACATACATATATATATTTAGATAAATTTCTAAGAATGATGAATTGAAAAAATTATGGTTAATCTATCAGCAAAAGCAAAGGAAATTGATGAAGTTCTAATTAATGTTTAAATAGTGGTGATTGATTCAAAGTTCTAATTAATATTGAATTTTGGATTAAAATTATCGAGAATGATGAATTGATATACATTTATATATATATATATATTTTGTGAATGATGAATTGATAAATTTTTGGTTAATCAATGAGCAAAAGCAAGGGAGATCAATAAAGTTCTGGTTAATGTTCAAATAGCGGTGATTGATTCAAAGTTTTTGTTAATGTTGAATTTTGAATTAAAATTCTGGTTAATTGATAAAGTCTTTTGATTTCAGTTTAAATTTTGAAGGAGCAGAAATGGAGATTGATTCAAATAGTGGTGAGAATCATTTATTAAATGAGAGTGAAGAATTTGAGGAACCTAAGAGGGGTACGTGTTTTAGCTCAAAGCAAGAAGTATACACATTTTATGCCAAATATGCTAAACATATTGAATTTTCTATAGCTTATAAAACACATGTCACAACCCAAACCTGCCCATAAAAGTTTAGGACATGATCGGCTTATAATTAGGCCTCAAATAAAAATCAAAGAATATAATTTATTCAACAAAGGGGCCTAAAGCGAAAACAATTAAATAATACAACGTCCATCGAGCTGTGCGTATATGCCAGAATCATTACATAACTTCCCTTAACCGGAGAACCGGAGAAGTTCACATGCGCTGTTCAGATATAATTACAGTCCAAGGCAGGTATATGTACAAACAGTTAATAATCCAAAAGTTACATGACCATAAAATGTTCAAAAAATTACAAAAAATATGGCACTAAACTCCATAAGAAACAAAAGACTCCACTTGGGCTTAACTAAAAATTTTCACAAAAAGGCACCTGAAGCTGACCTAGGGCTGGCTTCCAAGCTGACTACCTACAAAACATACATGAATACGGAATGAGACAAGCTCAACAAATAATTATAATGTACTAAAGCCTACAGACGTGCATGTGCCTTACAAAACGTAAATCGTGTACATAACACATGTATGTCCTTTTTATCAATACATTTCAAAACGGTCTCGGGCTTAATCATAATAACAGAACGGCCTCGGGCCCAATATATTATAACAGAAATAAGCCTCATCTCATATCTACATTTCATATTTCAATTCTTGTAGCTCATTCATTCGAATAACATAACTTCAGAGAATCGCGCATTAATGTATCAAAATAAATACAAGTGACTATATCTTTACACTACTATTACTTACAATGATCCGGTCGTGCAGTAGTCCCTTCTGGTGAATGACCTACACATCCCATACATAAATTGATAAGTAATAAATTCCTTTCTTAGCTTCTTTCCTTTTCTTTTCTTTTTTTCTGTTTCGTTCACTTTTTATTCATTTTTACGTATTTCAGGGGTATAAAATATACAGATTAACAGGTTCAGAAAGTCAAAAGGGGTGTTAGAAAGCAACATAATTTTCCCTCTCTTCCCGCATGTGTGGAGGTCCCTTATCGCATGTGCGAAGAGGCGTGCCGCACATGCGACCCCGCACGTGCATTTATTTTAGAAGCCAACACTTGTCTCCCATGTTTTCCGCATGTGCGGCTGTGCATCCTGCACGTGTGGTCCTGGGCTTTGTTTGAGCAGTTCGAAATTCAACAATTTCAGCTTTCCAAAGGTATTTTAAGGCTCTAATTCAAGTAGGTTCCATTTCAAAAACATAATATATAAACATAATACACATGAACCTCAAGCTTAATTAGATCATAGCTCATTTTAATTATACATGCACAACGCAAATTGCTACCTTTCTTCCACTTTTTCATCTTCCCATGGTTAATCAAAACAACCATTACTATACATATACAAACATATACATAAATGAGCTCAAAGCATGTGAAACTAAAGATTAGAAGGTAATTTCTCTCAATCTTATTGAAAAACAACTCAAAACCCAAGGATCAACCTTTTATTTAACCAAATCCAAAGATTACATGTTCAATTTTATGAAATAAATTCAACCATGGTAGTAACTCATAAACGCTAACTTCTATGGGTTTAAAAACTTCATTCTAAGGCTTGATTCTAATCAATTGAGGAGAGGTCTAAAGATTTGGTGTAGTCTCCATATTTGGAGATGTATTCGGAATAGTGACACAAATTCCTAATTATCATAATTGTATAATTGTTACTATTCCTCAATAAAATAATTTGTTCAAATTTGTTGTAACTCTGTCCTGTTGTGTATTATAATGGAATACTGGGTCGCCCCGAATATGATCCATTCTAGTGTCCACTTCTTTCATAGTTTTGATGGGCCTATGTCTAAAGGGCCTATGAAAAAACATTGGCCAAACTATGGGCCTTGTCACGTTAAATGGGCCTCTTCATTTGGGAGACTATAATTGGGCCTCTTAATTTAGTAGACTGTATTTGGGCCCATTTATATTATTGTTGATGATCCAAAACAATAATCACATTGATTAAATATAGCTTAACATTTTATTATTTAATTGTGAAAATGTACATAAATGTTTTCCCACCGCCAATCTTTTACATAATATGAAAGCTCGTCGAGTACAATGGTAAGTGCGAGACAATAATTAACTGTACTAATAATCCCAAAGCTGGATAATTTGTTCGTCATCCTGCATGCAATAAGCTGGGTAAATATAGTCTCCGTCAGGCGTCTAAGACCTTTGAATGTCAGCCATGTATACATTGTCGCCATGAACGTCCGGACTCCCAACGCTTGCCGGAGGTTGTAGTTGAACAGGCATTCTATCTTGTAGACCCCGTGATTCCCAGATCAGGACATGTCTACCGTTTTGAAACATTGAGTTCTTCAAAGTGCTGTAAAAGACCCCTGATAGCGTCTTTTCTCTCTAGTGGATGTTGTTCGACACATCCGTTCGTGTGGAATATCGAACATCCGCATTGGAAGTGGAATATCTTCCTGCGTTGGGCCTTCTTCTTCTCATTGCGATGCCTCTTCTTGATTGGCTCTAGCGAAGAGGGGCTGATCGATTGTGTAGAATTCTGCGTTTTGGATCGTCCATGTTTGGAGCCCGGCGTGTTCATGTTTATCTAAAAAATCTCTATAACTGGAATCGGCTCCGGGATTGCATAATATAATAAATTTTAGTCGCAATTGGGCCTCTTAACGTGTAGCCCCCATATTTGGATGCCGTGTGGTCGCCGGATCTTTTGTTAATGAACATGAACACAAGATGGCCTATGTCGACTGCTCTTGCCAACATTTCTACCAATGCGGATGTTCCAGTTCGGGACATGTCTACCGTTAGTAATTTGTTAAATATAAATGAATGCGGGAAATAGGCCAATTGCAGAGTTACTAATCCCAATCGTCCCGAGGAAGATCCTTTTTTATGATAATTACTAATCCTGCCTAATTATCATAATTGTATAATTATCGCAATGAGAAGAAGAGGCATTGTAAAAGACCCCTGATAGCGTCTTCTCTCTCCAGTGGATGTGGTTCGACACATTCGTTCGTGTGGAATATCGAACATCTGCATTGGAAGTGGAATATCTTCCTGCGTTGGGCCTTTTTCTTCTCATTGCGATGCCTCTTCTTGATTGGCTCTGGCGAAGAGAGGCTGATCGATTGTGTAGAACTCTGCGTTTCGGATCATCCACGCTTGGAGCCCGGCGTGTTCATGTTTATCTAAAAAATCTCTATAACTGGAATCGGCTCCGGGATTGTATAATATAATAGTTGGAATCTCGCCCTTTACATCCTTTTCAGTACTAACCTCCGGCAAATCGAAATGGAAAAAATGAGGCTCATTGTACAGGCGAAAATCGTCAATCCTCCAAATGGAATCACAAAACGATTTGGATGTGAATCGTTTTTTTTTTTTTGTAATAACTACATTTTCGCTTAAAATAACTTCGGCCGGACACACCAGATCTACTAGATGTTGTCCAACGGTAACTAAAATTTAATTTTGTTCTAGGAGTATATGGACGCCGTTGCGAAAATCGGAACGTAGTCGCCATAATCGATGGTGAAACTCCGACCATTAAATGCATCACATTCATTTTATTTTATAGGCGTAATATGTTGACCGTAACATGGGTCAATGTTAACAGTTATTAATTCGTAAAATAGACGAAATAGTAGATGTTAAAACCGTATACGTGTCTAACGTATGGCACGGA